AATTCCGTTTTCTGCTTCCTCGCTCAGCATGCTAAACGAATTTTTATCCTCGTCCAGCCGCTGGAACAACTGGTCAGGACCACAGCACATCCCAGACTACTTGAGTGACATCCTATTCCATAAAGGGAGAGGTAGTGACGTCCTAAGAATTGGGCTTCCAGGATGTCAGTTCTCAATCCACAGGGCATCATTTCAGTTTGATTCACCTGGAAATCCAGTACCGCGAGCCACTCTGCCACACCAAGCAAGTGAAAACTCATATTATGGAGGTTTTTTGTTTCCTTAGTAATGGTACTTCTAAATTTCACGTGTGGTTATCGTAAACTCTTCAATGCACCCAGCGACGGTGTGCGTGTCTGCACGCATTCTGTAACCATTTTAATGGACCTTATTTGTCCTGTAACAGTTTCTGTTCTGTATGATCGCCAATATCTTTCGCACATAACCTACAACAGGAAACCCCCATTCAAAATTACCAACTGAATTCACCGTGTCTTACCATATGTAATTTGGTGTCACTCTACCTCAGGAGCTTTCGTGAGTGCTGGAGTATAATCTAACCGTTCCAGAGTCCAAGACTTCTTGGATTTACGCCTGTGAAACCTGTGCGGATATGTGACATGTGAAGTCGGACAGTATCAAGAAGTCCCATTCTACGCTTCTCCTTAATTGAATTACGCGTGTGCATCAGGCTGGCAAACCAAACGCGACGTTCCTCTTATTCATCATGAAATCGCCATCCATATATCCTTATATATATGTATATATATATATATATAATATGTATATATATACAGATATAGATATAGATAGATAGATAGATGAACTTCGCGCAACTAAAGAAATTCAAAAGGAATCTCAGGTGTGTTCACAGAACGAAACTGGTTAGAATCGGATTCATTCTATGCGAAAACGTTTTCTTAAATTTGCTGATGATCCAGTGTTCATATATTCAAAGGTAGACAATTAGCATGCACCTTTGTACAGCCTGCTGATTAGAACGTACATTCTGGTTAGCAAAGCCCAGAACACAAAGGTCGATACGCAAGCCTCGATAAAAATTTAATCAAGAGAATAAATAATCATACCTTGGTACGTATGTCACAGTGCCCTCACATAACCTTGATGGTATATGAAAACATCGTACCAATAAGGGCGAAGGAACAATTCAGTGCTAATAAGCAAGAGTGTTCGCGTACCTAGATAAAGAAAAATGTTTACCTGGATACACTTCAGGAATCAATAGCATTCATGAAGAATACGGGAACAATGAGCCTAGGTTATGCAAGTTGAGCTCCTGGTACAAGCTATCTGACCTTCCTCTTTATCTCAAAATTGTGGAAGATGCATGAAGGTTGTGGTGTAGGCCGTCGGAAACCTTTCGGCAACCACATAAGTGGTGTTCGTTCGATATCTTGAACGTCGTCTCAGCCCTTGTGTAGCAAGTTCATTTGAAGAATTCAATTAACGAGACATCCAGTTGTTTTACATTCTAGTCTCCCGTGAACAACCAAGCTGGTGCGCAAATGAATGTAGTTTGAGAATTTTGTGTGATTTGATTTTGACTGGACTGTAAAGTTGAGGGGCGTTCAGGTACCGCACCTGCCTGATGAGCCCCAAGAAGGACGATAGTGATCTTGAGCTGTGGTAGAGTTTCAGGAAATCTATAAGCAGTGATCGTTTTGGAAAATTTAACTTTCACTTTTAGACATTTAGTAAACATGCGGGTAGCCCTCTCTCAGAAAAGCTGATGCTGAGCGAGGGTAGTTACTGGATGGACTTCAGTTTTGAAGAAACCTGGGTAGGCTTTTTAAAATGAACATGCTGCGCGAAGACATATCGTGTTTTAAACTGCATGACATTCAATGTGGCGGTTTAATTGTTGTATTCCTTGTATTCTTTTGTCTAGATTTCAAACTCATTCGTGTCAGCACAATTTACACGACTCATCGATGCAGACAGTTTGTGAAGGAAAACCAAAAGTGCCATGTCAACTAGGTTTTGGTTGATGCAGTCGGCCTCACAGCCATCGTCTACTTGGATTAGCCATCCATCTAAGGCCTTATAAGCTCGTTTGAGGATGGCGCTGGCACAAACGACGGTAGCGACCGACGGTTGCTAAGCCTAACGTTTTTGATCGTGTTACTCAGGCCGGGCAAACAACTGGTCAAGCCTGTCAACACTCGGTAAGGCTATCGTCTTCTGCCTACATGGATGCATGCATGCCCACACACATACTGGATGGACTTCAGTTTTGAAGAAACCTGGGTAGGCTTTTTAAAATGAACATGCTGCGCGAAGACATATCGTGTTTTAAACTGCATGACATTCAATGTGGCGGTTTAATTGTTGTATTCCTTGTATTCTTTTGTCTAGATTTCAAACTCATTCGTGTCAGCACAATTTACACGACTCATCGATGCAGACAGTTTGTGAAGGAAAACCAAAAGTGCCATGTCAACTAGGTTTTGGTTGATGCAGTCGGCCTCACAGCCATCGTCTACTTGGATTAGCCATCCATCTAAGGCCTTATAAGCTCGTTTGAGGATGGCGCTGGCACAAACGACGGTAGCGACCGACGGTTGCTAAGCCTAACGTTTTTGATCGTGTTACTCAGGCCGGGCAAACAACTGGTCAAGCCTGTCAACACTCGGTAAGGCTATCGTCTTCTGCCTACATGGATGCATGCATGCCCAACACACATATTGGACACCGAAGGGTAGATCGAGGAATGTCATTCCTGAGAGTTGTCAGTCTCGATGTCAGTCTCGATTCCCGACTAACTGCCTATATGTTTTACCAAGCGTCCATTTGCCGGTTTGGGTAACAGGGTTTGACTAATCAAGCTGTGATCAGAGAGGCTGCTTTTGTGTGCTAAATTACTTGCAAGCAAGCAACATCATGCGTGAGTCACACGACTTTAATGAATGCCTATACCAAACGTAGAAGACATAGCCGTGTTCCTAGTCAAGGAGTACTGTCCGTAGGTGTTTCAAAGAGATTACGCTACTACAACGGCCACACATATAGGCCTTTGGAAAAGGAATTCTAAGACCTATATGAAACAGTAATGTGTCTCCTAAGGTAAGTAAAATAACCGTACACATGTTATGAAATGTATGCTTAGATCATCCGTCATTCGTGCTTCCACCAAACCATGCGCTCAAAATCCTTCACCATGCTGGCAGTTATAAGCTATTCGAAGGAGACGCATAAAATGAATCAACTAAGCAAGCTGTGGATTGCCCGAAGTTCAGGTTGTCCTTCACTGCTACAAGGGTCAGGCACAATTCCACCCGTAACAGGACAACCCCACTTTCGGATATAGCTGAAATCATAGAGTCAACTCTATGGTACTTTCTTTAAACTCACGAGCATGACCTTCTGTAGCCTACATTATATAGGCCGTAATTTGATGAGTTAAGAACTCTTTATCATCGTCATATCCGCACAGACTTTCCACACGTGACTCAACCCACTCAGGCTTCAGACAGAAATGTTGTTGCATTCATTATGAGGCTTGAAAACACTCAGCAAGCTTTGGAAATACTTGTGATTTTTGGAAATACACATGATTATACACTGTTGAGCTCACAGTCAGCGTCCGAGTCTGTTGACTCAAACACCTCGATTGAACGGGCACAATCTCGACTCTGTCTAACTTCTGTGTCTCAGGTTAAAGAAATCGATGTCAGTTTCACGAACGAGGATTTCGAATGAGAACTTAATACCTGCTTATTTATGCGTGAATGCTTGTGCAGGCTGGTCCTAGCGGTGAAATTCGAGACACAAACGTCGCCTGGTCACGCGGCCAGTAATGGATCACGCAGTGACAAAGAATAGGAAAATACATTCAGCTGTTCACTAATTTGGTTTTGGTGTGACTCAGCCCAGCTGAATCTTCAAATAAGCGTGCCGCCCAAAGGCCAGCTCATGCTGCAGTTGGTATGATATCCGGGATACCACAGCGTGTGTTCTGGATGGGGCATATCACTCGTAAGGTTGTTGAGAACTCTGCATCTTGAAGCTCATCAGGCATCAACATAATCGGTTGCAATATCGGCTTCGGAAACACAAACGTCGCAAGTAACGTTGTTGGTAAATACCAACATTTGTTGTCGCAACTCCTATGAATTATCAGTTAATGAAAGACTGGATTAAAGTGAACCTAGCTGCATTCGGCGAAAACCGTCAAAACTCGGATGAGTCCGGATAACCCACCCTTCTTTTTTTTGCTTTTAGATCCCGTTGACCATAGATCAAGATGCGTGTAATGACAACATAGAGTTCCATAGTTGATAGACCAGTGTGGTGTTGTAGGTGCGTCCGCATCTGACATATGTACGTACGAAGAACAATAGTTCTGATGAGGAACGACCTCTTGGTATTTAAACTGCATTGTATCGACTTCTGGGCAAGCACAATGTAGGCATGCATACTGAATAGAATTTTAATGGAATGTTTGTAAAACAGGGATTCGTTGGGAGTTGAATAAACAGATACTTAACAAAAGAGCAGTAGTACAACGTGCTGAACGGGTGAACGAGTCGCATAAATGTTAACTGCTTAAACCGCTCGCCAGTGTTTGGTTGATGAAACTGATCCAGCATATCTGGGCAGATGCATATGCATGCCTTGTTGATAAGCCTGATTGGCTCTTGGGCAGATGCATATGCATGCCTTGTTGATGAGCCTGGTTGGCTCCCACTACTCCACAAGTACTGAGGAGCAAAGTGAAGTCTACCAAGACAGAACGTTAAAAAGTACGCACTTTCAGTGTAACTCCTGACTCTCCACAAGTACTGAGGAGCAAAGTGAAGTTTGCCAAGACAGAGCGTCAAAAATTACAGACTTTCAATGTAACTCCTGACTTTACATTTTCTATGCTTTTACCAAAGGCTTCATGAGTAGCTCCTGGGTTACAGAAGGTTCTTTAAACCAAATTAGAAGTCTCCAGTTTGTGGCTTCTTTAACTTCTCCAACAAAGGACCATAATTTTCCTCCATCAATGGGCGTTGGTCACACACATGCCCCCTGGAAATGTAGATCTAACGTAGTTGTGATAGCTCATGAAAATGCGGGTAGTCGAAATTACATATCTGGCTGCCAGTACCTCGAAAAGTCAGCTGATAGTTTGGTGCGCTTGAAGGATTGAAAAGCTGAATAGTGTAGGTCACCAACAGACGAATCTCACTATTTATTCTCAAATGTATGAGGTAATCCTGAGTGGTTTCAGGAGCGTCCTGTTCGACACACATCATCCGAGTGAATCAACCATTCAGAATAAGTGTAATTGAAAAGAGATAAGCAGTGTATTTTCTTCATTTTACCTATGAGGGTAGCAATACTTTGAGTATGGGTACTTTACAAGTCACTATTGTCTAGTTTGAAAAGAAACTGTCCTAGCACAATAACGAAATCTTTCAGCGACCTTGTTGTCGTGAGTCTAAGGACAGCCAGCTTTAGACCAGTCGAAGTATGACTCAAGTTTCCCCCTCCGTCTGATATCCGAAGTCCAACAATGGAAACTTCCACCGATCGAGTTGGCATGGCGCAGAGCTACCGGAATGGGTGTGATTCCTATGCGGCGGTACATCTCGTGTATGGCAGTCTCTCCTTTCTCAACGAGTACACGTTCTGGATCCAGCATGAGGACATTCATTGAGAGCCAAGGTGAACCAAGCCAGTAAGGGTGAGCTGGACGTAGAAGAAAGAGATAGGAGAGACAGATTGGTTGTCCAGCTTTTACACTCTAACTACAAACTTATTATAGGAGAAGAATGTCGCTCATATAGCCCCCCAACAGTTTCGCATAAAAGTGATGTTATACAAGAAACGTATTGAAACTATAAGTCTCACGTATCGTTCTAGGTTATTTTAGACCTTCCAAGCAACTGTCTCTTGGTGAGACTAAATCATTCTCTGTGGCACCTTGTCACAGATTCTTTACTTCTACTCAGATCAGACCTTCGAAGTTTGCTTGCTGTGATGTGCTGTATCCATTTGTTCTCAAAGCGCACCACCTTTAGTCCAACAGGGACGGAAAAACGCATCAAATGATTCCTCAATTTACCTGTTCTTTTTCTGAATGCATGATGTAACGGTAAGACTATTTTGAAGAAAACTAGTCTCTATTTTTACCAGCCTATGGTACATCGCTGAGGCCCGGACTTACAATTCTTTGTTTTTTTTTCACAGCATCCTTTTACAGCAGTTTCCTACATTTATTGGTGCAGTTACTTTTCTAACTTGATTTCAGAGTTACCTCTCTGAAAACTACTTTACTGTGGGAGAGTAGCATCAAGAATATCAATCCGCTTTCACCACTAGAATCTTCTGACTAATTAAACCTCCAGCGCATCATCTGCACACGAAGTATATCAAGATTTGACCCATGTGGACAGAGTTGCGAACTGATGTGTAGACTACTTAACGCAGGTGCCCGTAAACTGACTGGCGGTGATCATCATGATTATCTGTGAATGCGATGCTCCGTTGATGAAGACATAAAGCAGCTTCAAGCTTTGAAAACACACATCAGACAGTAGAAACGACTTTGATGTGCTCTGCAGATTGGTACGGACCGAAAAACTCGCAACTACAGCTCCAGCTGATGGAAGCATAGTATCCCAAAACTCTACAGCCCAATGAATAAAAAACTGTGATGTTTTACCACCATCCGTAACCTGGGCCTTGTGGAGTATATCAAATGAAATATCTAGTTAATGCTCATCAAAACTTTATCAAAACTTATGTGCATTTGATAGAGCCCGGGACGAAAAGAGCCTAAACATCCCGGTTTCATCAGTATTTTAACTAAGATAAGCAAAAATGCCTTCGCCAAACACCTACTGGCAGTGGGATCTATGTGAAACAAAGTTAAGAAAGATAAGAGGCTTACTCTCAAAATGTCGGTATGAGTATCCGAATATGTTTTGTCAAGATGACCTTAATTGCCATGGTGATGTGATACCTGCCTAACAAGTGCCCATTCTGCACTTGTGCGCGCAATAATAAGGCCGTTCTCCCACATAAATGGGGCCATACGGGAAATTTGTCGCAGTCACAGGAGGTGAGATCACGTTTCTCAATGCCCAAGAGCAAACTGTCATTAAAACCACTACCCTAGACCCCTTTCGACACGAATACATTTCGATGACTTTCCTTGAAGCGGGCCTACCGGTGTCGGCTTCCATCTAAAAGTTTGCGCAAGATTGATTCTAGAATTTCTGATCTTGGCGCCGTTTTTTGTTTACCATCATGATATACAAGTCACGCAAATTGGCTGACGAATTCCAGGTCTTTCAGTTTTCGCATGCAAATTGATAACGACAAGTTTTCACAGTGATTTTGTTATATCTGACTACCGGGTAGAAACATATTCTATGGTGTGGGGACAGACATATTTCCATTTATATGCCAGTTCCTCACTGATTTTATCCTGAACTACCGTACCAAATCGCCCCAGTTTTTGCGAAATAAATTTGTGGGCGTATGCAAACGTAGAATTTGCGCCAAATTAAGAATGCTTACTAGAAAATTCCAAAAGAATGATGTATTTTTTTTTAAATTTTGGGTTCATTTTCTCGAGCCCAGACGTCGGTACGAGTACCAAAGTAGAGAAAAGTAAAGTGAGAAACGTCAATGCAATATCAACGCAACTGCGAAGAAAATGTTACGTTTTGATTGGTGATAGTTTTTTGGACGAAGAGAGAATTCGTTGATGAAGTCAATTAATGGAGTCGCATCTTGAACAGCGATTCGTTTTCGCTTTTAAGGTCACGTTTCTTTTGCTTTTCTCAAAGCTGTGTGTGGAAATGATTGGGTTCGTGCTTGGTACGGCTTGCCATGAGAGTACTGTATGTAGTTCAACATTCCTACCAAAACAAACTGTATCACTGAGTGGTCCTCATCGGTTTGGTCACATTTTGGAAGTCCTAGTTAGCTCAACTAATGGTGTAAAAGTGTCTCCACGCCACAGACAGTGCATAACTGATCCAGTGAAGAGGAGGACATAGATACTCCGGCACATGTTTTCTGCGGAGAACTGAATCGATGACCGGAACCTGCAGTCACAACTGGAAAAGTAAGGCTAAAATCTACTCCCCGTTGTTGTGGTTGGTTGTTATTTTTGTATACCATTACTCGTAATCGACTTAGAGCTTCCAACTTTAGCGAGGGGTTGTCTTATGCTAGACAAGAACGGAATCCAAGCAAACGTTCAGGATTGAAAATACAGACATGGCGAAATATCGTCCACCATTGTGTGAAGTAAAACCAAGGCGAATTACTCGTCAAACTGGGAAAACGCCTTGTTCGTCAGTGTTCAAGTGATTTCACTTGATTTGCTCCTATTCATGCTCCCCTGTTCCTCACACTTTCTCTTCATTGGGTTCTGCACCTACGTAGAAAGACATTAGTGTCATATAACCAAGCCCTGGAAGCTAATTTGACCAAACTCGCATCGGTGTGGAAACACTGAGTTCTTACCCCGGCACAACCAGGGTAGTGGGTAGTTGGAGGAAAGCTAAGTAATCGAAAAAAAAGCAAATAGGTCTGGTGTATGCGTACTACATACATCAGAATCATCCACATAACCGTTTATCTACTTAAACAGCATGAAAAGAATCCAACGGCATGAAAAATAATATCGGATTGTCTGCAACCAATTAGGGAGAGAAGCACTAGGACTATTTCGTGGGAGGGAGATTGCGCTGACAGCACACCGACTTTCTGAACTATCATAAATTTGCTTCTGCCAAGTTATTCTTTGCTCACTCGTTGGTATGAGTCATTTTGAATTTGGTATGAAACACATTGCTCTTTCTCAGAGGTAGTGAGCTGGAACTCATATCATATGGGCGTATCACAAGGCTTGTGGGGCTGGTCGAATTCTTTGTCCGAATTACCCGATGCTTCGTCGAGCATTCGTTGTTTCATCGCGCAATTTCCAATGGATGTTGATGCTGGGATCAACGGCCGGTCAGTTCAACAAACGGTCTCCTTGAGACTTCTTTCCCAGGAGCATTCCTGAAGGGTATGTGGCGATCGATTGTTTTGATGTGGATTCAGTGTCCGACATTGTCAGGTAGCTCTGCCCTGGTGATATTCCCCTTTAACTTATGACGGAATAGACATGAGGCCAAACCAATATTGTGACAAACCACCGGGCTAACTGGATTTCGCTTCTTCCCCTCATTGAACACGGCTTATTTACATTCATATGTCCAAAGGGTTTGGTAATCTTCTCACCCCAGTTCATCTGGGATGAGAACTGCTGTGAAAAACGGAACCTTCTCCTTGGCATGTCTGATTTGATGTGGTCATCAGCAACCTTACGACTCCCTTCTGAAGAATCTTCGACCGATTCGTTGCGGGCTTTGCACGCACCGTTCTCAGGCTTTGGCAAGGAAGTGAAAACTGGTATTTCCATTCGGTTTTACTGAACATCGCTCTGTTTGCCATTTAATTCCACTTTTTTATACTTTCATGTTGTTGCTTCAACAGTCCGAAAATAATGAGTCACGTGTCTGAAGCGAGGAGCTGTAGATGAGCCAGTTTTGATATGAAACCTCGCTAGTCACTATTACTCGCATTAGGCAAACATAGACTTGATGTTCACTCTTGTTAAGGTGAACTTCAAAGCCACCAGCCATCAAATACGGTGTATAGCGCTCCGTTCTGGCCAGTTTTGATCGTATTCTGCTTCGTCACGTTATGCTCATTGTTGTCAAAGTTCGCGAATGTCATCCAGATTCAGTGATTCACTCAAACCAGGACAGACCACTTCACAGTTAAGACGGAGGTAAGACTTGTGAAAATAACTAGTGAAAATAATAAGGTCCGGTGAACGAAAAATATTCAGACAGGCCAAGAAGACAGAATATTGATCGATAAATATGGCGTGTGTCTCACCTAAACTTCACCAGAGTTGTTCACGGCAGCAAAGTCAGTGTAACTCATTAAGCGCATTCAGCTGCCAAGTCGCTTGCCTTTTGCCGGTTGCGTAAAATTTGGTACTCAAGAAGAACACAAAATTTACGGAAACTCGGAGACTCTTTCTACCTGATTAGGCAAAAAGAGGTGGAAGCTGCTGTGCGATTTCGGAAAGTTTTCAGTAACCCTTTGAACAGTGTGGTTTGTCAAGGAGTTTAAGTTAACCTCGGTGAAAATTCCATCGGTTTCCTTACCAAGGATTTACCAACTGTGTAATCAGTCAGTTTTTACTTTTTGTATGATGAAACCAAAGTTTTTAATATAAATACTTGGTTCACCTTTTCACCTAATTTGCAAAGAGCTATTCGCTGTCTAGCAAGATCTAAATTTTCGTCCCCTCTGAGATGCGATTGCGTGTTCGCCGTTATGGCATTTTCCGATTTATTTTAAATGTCCTATTAACGAAAGAGGTGTTTTACAACTTTATCCGGAATTCCAATATTTTTAGACGGAATGAGTAAGTCAGTCGGGCTGAAAAACCGGGTTTCGGAGGTGACGTAAGTGAGCTAGAAATATGAAGCAATGTGGCGAGAAATGAACCATAAAGTTTTCATAAAATACAGAAAACATAAAAAGGCACAGTTTGTTGGCTTCTGAGCAGGCTTCTCAAATATTTAGACGTGACAAAACGAAGCCTCTGGCATAGAATATGCGGAAACGCTGCTTCTAATTGATAAAATTATGCAAAAATATCGTTCACTCCAATATAACTCTAAGATAACTGGAGAATTATGAAACAATATACTCGTGATTTACTCTTTGGTACATTTGGGGTTGGAGCGTTTATGACATCCCATCCAGCTGCCTTGATGAGTTCAGTCTGATCACACGGACGATCTGGATTCTGTATGGCAATCCCTGGTTTGGCAAATACAAATGTGGCATCAATGTGCATCGGACGTGGATCGGTGAAAGTAAGCTGATGAACCCTTATTCCAAGAGGTTCTACGTGCCGTCTGACCCATTCGATCCCGGCAAGATTTGTTACCTGTTACCGAGAAGGGAGAACAGACAGGAATATTCTCTACCGCGTGAAATGCCTTTATTTCTCCCCTATTGGGACAGTGCATGATATCGGCAGTGTAGACCCGAAGGCTGAAGGAGGGTCATGAGAAAACAATTCGTGCTACTTATTATTCGACAGTAGTTTACTTGAACAAAACCAAAGTGCGGTCACGAAAAGTTGGGATCAGTGGGATCTACAGTTTATTCCGTTTTATTCCGTTTTTATTATGTGGGATAGAACCACATCAGTGGGATCTACAGTTTATTCCGTTTTCTTCCCTTTTTATTATGTGGGATAAACCCACTGAAAGTGCGGCATGGTCGACATTTATTCAGCCTTACGGAGTGCGCTCCAAACGTACGGCTGAACAGTCATTTAATCTTCCACTCCCAGTCGCCACTCTGTAGTCCTTACAGCCAATAAGGGACAAATGACAAATACACACCATTGCTTCATTTCAACGAGAATCAAACAGATATCCAAAACCCAGCGATTTCCACAAATACATCTGTAATTTCGATGTGTGTGCCCAGTGATCAGCCACTTATAAAAAAGAAACAAATAATAATATCCCTAGTTAAAGGAGAATCAAATTTGCTGTGGAACATCCCATTTCATGTGCTTGGCTCATGAGTCACACTCAGCTGAGTTTCAGAGGAATCACCCGTGAAAACCAAACTGACATGCAAATGAGTGTGTTTGTGAAAGTGTAGCTGTAGCGAGGAGGCGGTGAGTAATCGTTCATCTGTGACACCGTCCAGATGCCTAACTGCTATGCTACCCGAAGGAAGTACGAGGGCTGAGGTACTGCCAGGTTGCCCAAGCCTAGAGAGGTCGAGATGCAGAAGTTGGGTTCGAACCACCGACATTCCGGTCATTAAATTCGCGCTCTACGTACCGAGCTGCCTCGAGCTCGTGGGGCAAACCGAAATATCAGTGTCAAGTGAAGCACGTGTGACTGGCTATCAGAAATATGTATTTTAGCAGTGATGGCTGATTGTATAATGAAGTCTCATTAGCGGGGTTGTACGGTGTTGCAGGATTTAAGCGTGTAAGGTTGGATCTAGTTTCCACTGGTTATCAAGGCCCCCTTCAATATGTGTGTCTACTGGGAAGTTAACACCTTAGGACACCTGAGGATTTCGACATTGGTGGTCAGAAAAACACGTACAGTATACGATAAATATTGTTCAGAAAACTTTGAATGTCTTGAGAACAACTTCGATTCCTATGCGACTACATAATTGTGATGAGCTTTATCAGTCCTACGCTAAAAATATACTTACCATGAAACTAATGCATCCTAATATAATGGTTGCGTCTTAAGCTATGAAGACGGGGCAAGAGAGTTCCCTACCAGTTCTCCTTCGTCATCCCTGAGACCAGTAATCCGCCAACGGTATTTCTCCCTCTGAGAATTAGCGTTGCCCGAAACTATTCTCTTTTATAGATTGTTTTCTAGTCATCAGTAATTCAAAGTGGCTGAAAGTGAGTGATATTCGCTGGATTAATTTTGTTCCGCCTGTTTTGCAGTCCTGGGCAGATTCTTCTAGTCTGGCGCAATGACTCTTTGTGTGATAACTTGCCCGTCGTATGAATACTGACAGACTAATCCCTGCAGTCTCTAACCTCAAGATGTAGATGGAATTTTCATCAAATTGTACCAAACTAGACATAATTGGCTAGTTTAATGCTCAGATAAAAAACCCTAATATTTTGATGTCATAGTCCCCTTTTGAAGCGGTAGCATGTGAACTGAAGTGAACTGCATCTCACTACAGACTTTGTTGATTCGCCTTTTGAATCAAAGGTGGACAAGGGTAACTTTCCTTGTTTTCTGACTACTCATGAGTAACATGACTTACAGCTGTTTATTATGACACCGTCTCGTTTTCTTGCTGCTCGTTTTTCGCCCCCATTTCGTTCCTACCCAAGGTCTGCTTATTCTTCAATAACTGATGTCAATATTTATTGCCCATCTGTCAGTGCTTGCAAGTTCCTCTCCAGTGTACCTATTTTCGAGCGTCCGCTCCGACTTAAGAGCGGACCGACCGGGTATCGGACCCGGTAGGCGAACGAGCCATCCACTACAGCAATTTGACAACCGGGGTGTATTACCCATGTTCCACATCTGCCAAAAAGCATTTGGCGAGGTTTGTTTTAAACGGACGACGAAACAGCGCAATCCGACTTGTCACGTGACACGAACCACCGCGTCGCGTCGCCAACCGAAAGGCAGTCCCTCACATCCTAAACGTACTGATTCCTGCACCGTTATCTCTATACGGCCAACTCACACTGTCAGACTGCCCGTATATGTATGTCTGTACATCGTTTAGTGCTTACTTGTTGTTGCTTCTAGAAATCCCTGATTCGTTCGTGACTATTTTCCGCTCCTGCTGATTGTGTCATTATTGACTGTACGTTTGCTTAATTCATGATGCTTACTAATCCGTTTGTCTGTAGAACCAGTTCCTGTCAGTCCTCAATATATCATCTGCTGCCCCATGTCTGTCTGCTCCTATTGACTACTGGCTACGAACTGCGTATAATCTATTAGCCGCAATCGTCCTGCGAGATTCACAACCGCCCGGATCTTACAGACTCATCGGAGGCAATTAATTTCTGCAAAGTAGTCGAATCAAGTGAAGTGAGTTGGTTGCTTGAAAATGATCAGGGATTCATTCTGTCTAAGTAAACCATCAGACACACTGATGATCCGATATCCGCTGGCGTTTGAGAAAGCGTTTGAACTTTGGGGAGCTGTTGGTTGAAATCTCCACAGAGATTTGTTACTTGCGTACCGCTTTATAGCTGGGGTCGATTTTTGGCATTAACTGACCAGGATAAAATCCAAAGTTCAAAATTCGATCCATTTTCAATGTTTGATCAGTCTATCGTTTGACTTGCAAGCGCATATTTTGGTTAGCCGCCAGTAGAGTCCCTGCAAATGTTGGATAATCTCTTCAAATTCTTATCGTTTGACAAATCAACCACTTTTCCAAGAATCGTGCTACCACCCACTTTAGCCTCTTCGACGTCTTTACAGGTTCAGTACATATCCTTGAATACCTATTACTCATTTGCATTTCTCCCATCGAGAACCAACTTACTTCCTATGCAAAGACACAGAGGGACATTCATTTTTCGAGCGTGAAGTAGATCGAACCTTCATCCAGAGCCACAAGGTGATAACAAATTATCGTCGCTTCTATTTCAACACTGTGGGTGAGAGTTCTAAGGAAAGAGTACCTTTTCACAAACAAACTATGTGATGGAAACCCAGTGATGTTTGCAAACACTTGAGACGGTGGTTTATACGCAGTATGTATGCTTCGGAAATCTAGCAACGTAGGCTTCAGATTCAACAAAGGTCATGGTGAGCGTCCATTCCCGTAACAATTGCATTACAATGAGACTACTAAAAAGAATGTACGAATCCTAGTTCAGATACGTAGTGGATGAGTTTAATAGAATTCCATAAGGAATATATGTGATTTGGGATCATGCTTTTGTTGTTCGAGAGATTGGCAATGAAAGTAGGTTGTGGTTGGCGTGAGACACACCAATCTGATCTAGGGATATCGGTCAAGTATCCGTCATTTCGACAGCTTCCATTGTTGGTCATGGTGCCGCACACGGTGCGCCTGCGCGAGTATCTATCAAAAATGCAACCAGTCAAGTGTTGTTTTTTTTTCGAAATTTTCTAAACCTTCATGGCGAACCTGATAAGTATGAATCATGCACAACATTGAATTTGTGCTAGTAATAAAGACAGGTAGGGGTCGACCAAGAGCTTGATTTTGCCCAGTTTAGACGCAATTTAGAACCGCTCAAATTGCTTGCTCAAACTTATAAATCAGCTAAGTTCAACTTGTGCCGATGTACTAGTGATCACACACTCGCCTTGCAAGTCAAGTTTTCGGACCTCAATCCTCAGCACGGCCAGAGATATACAGTACTGATGAGCTCATATAAGATCGAAACTCGGACATGTTGCTTTTCCCTTTCGATCCCAGCTCACGAGAATACGTGTGTGTACATGAGGAGGGTTATTCAAGCAAGCGATGTGAATTTGGATAGTCAGTCGTGATTAAAAACTTTGTAGTTCGTATTTGCCACGGGTTACATGATACTAGTGTACATAAAATTGACATCTCACTGAAAGAACACTTCAAACACGACAATCAGTTTCCTCATGGCTGCTAGAAAGTTGTCATGCCCTGAAAAAATAGCTCTGCTTACCACCAGATACGATTAGGAATGCGAAACATGACCTTGAGGATACGTCAGTATGCAAAATATCAATGGAAACATACCTGACTGCGCTGACAAAAGATATCACGTCCGGCTCGTGTGAAGTCAGCCGCATCGAAACACGGTTCGGACTCAGTGGTGATGAAGCCTATATTCGATTTGTCTGATACGCCGCTGTCCAGCTTCTTGACAACTTCCTGTATCAGGGACACAGAAAAATTGGCCTTACAATCAGATTTCATGCGAGTTTTTGTATAGGGCGTTTCTACATCAAGCCAAGTAGATTATGGAATCTAACCTGATATCATGATAGGTCCCCCGTTCATTTGCTTACTCCACCCGCACACGGTTTGTTCTGCTCCCTCGTACCCGCCATTCACCTTGCTGCGAATGCCGTCGCATCCGAAACTAGGAAGCCATCAAGTGTGTGTGACCAAACCATGCATGTTCGTGCCTCGTCTGCTGGGCCTGCTCGTCCGGCCGTGATATTCGCGTTATCGCACCGCCAATCAGAACAGGAGACTGGCCTAGGAAGTGACAACCGCAATCCACACTAGCGAGCCAACACTCCACTCACTGTTGTCTGATGTGCGGACCTTGGTACCGCTCTACGACGGCTTATGACAGACTTGCGCACTTGGCGCCACAAAGGTGAACACTTAGGGTTTGTCGTAGATATTCGAACCCGATTCTTCGTTTTGCTACTCGGCATCGTCAAACCTAAGCGTGACTCAAGGTTCCGCATCGGGAACCTCAGCATAGGTTCTTTCCACAGTAAAGGAAACTGTCCGAACATGCAACTCTTATCCGCTTTACGCAAATCCACCACTCAGTGAAATGAAATTCCACAAGGATGCGGTAAAATATTTTTTGGTGCGTCAGACAGTTCTCCTAACATGACGATCATCAAAACAGTCCATGATTTAGTCCCCCAAAAGCTGTCTGCTTTTCATGGCATAGTTTCACAACTCAGAGTTGGATCTCCGTAACATTTGAGGACTTTTGTTATCCGTGTGGGTCAACACTCACTTTGCGCAAGATGTCATCAAATTTCCCTAAAAAACGACCCAGCAGGTATCTACGGTGTGACCTTGTGCTGATTCACGCAGATGCTAGGTTGGTACAGATGATGTATAGTTTTAAACAAAACAAAACCTAACCAAATGGTAATGGAAGTGAAAGACGTCGAGGAATGCTATACAGTCCAAGTCCCCTACCACAAACGACTTACTAGTTGGGCTATGGTTTGGTGTGTATGCACTGGGCACCAAAGTAGTTCCGTAGGAAGGACTAAACGTCCTTTATCCAGTTACAAGATGTGGTGACGAGAAGTCTAATGATAGTGAGTTCAGCCATGGGTTTGGACCGTTTATTTGGTCTACCGTGTAAACGAATGAAAACGCTGTAGTACGGATGACTGTGTTTCCCGTATCCGTTAAAAAAGTTGAGGCAGGCTCTTAACGTAACTACTGCTCGCCAGGATGAGACACGTAGGGTGGGTTCTGTGGTCCGTTTAGACAAGCGTTGGACAAAAGGGTCTGCTTCAGCGGCCCCACATACGCAGTTCTGCTGATAAATAAGCCAATTTCCCATGACAAAGAGGTAATACCGAGAAAGTTTTGTGGCACTGAACTCTGTGCTTCACTGATTCAATCAGACTTTTGGTTACCAGTAGGTCTCCGATGAAGGGAATCAATGAAATATGCTAATGGTGTTCAGTTATATCGGGTATCAGTATTTCCACAGTGTTCTGTCCGTCGCATGTTACAAACCGTTCAGGGCAGTTGGTCATTTTACAAAATGTCTCTAGAAAAAAACCGCGTGACTTTGTAAATTGTTCAGCTTGGTTTTTCCCAGAGAATATGCCCCTTGGAAGAATGCCATTGTGTTGGTCAGACTACAGTGTCTAAAGGCAGAGGAGTCGATCGCGCAATGTCTGTTCTGTAGTAAAGAAAGCTTCAGTAAAGAAAGCATCGAAGCGAAGGAGAATTGTATCTTAGTTGTTTCTTTCTCCACCAAGTCCATTGTGCATACATTTGTTAGACTAGAACACTTTTGGTACGCGTCGTAGTAGTTCGCATTGTTTGAGTTTTTCCAAAGACCCACAAGTGAGCCCCTGGCTATGTGGTAGTAGTTGTCATTGAAGTGGAACCGCGTGTTCAGCCCTCAGCTGATAACTTCGATTTATTTTCCGCTACACACAGCGCCCCTACCTCTCTGCATTAGTCGTCTGTAGCATGAAGCTAAGTAAGTTCGTAAAATAAGACACTGCGCTGGTTGTGATTCTCTTTGGCGTTTGTGTTGCCGGGCAACATCAGCAGACCAGAATACGCTGCATTTACCAAAGTAGTTTGTTTAGTTTGGGAATTGGGTGACCCCGTGGTTGTTCTGATGAAGTCACTGCTCTCGGGTCTCTTCTGTCCCTCGGAGCGTAATCGATTTTTCGCCCGCATTGTGCTGTTCTTGGGTGGACATGCTGTTTGGAGTGAACGCGGTATGCATGAGCTGCACTCAGCCTTCTTGCAGTGTCACTAGGATATATTTATGGGGCATGGCGGAACATATCCAAAACTGAACACTAAAGAATCCAAAATCGTGGTGTTGTCTAATTAGGCTGTGAAAGAGTTTTGTCTTTCTTCTGGGCTGAAAGATGCTACTTACTCACGGAGGCGGAACGCGGCTCATTCTGGAAAGTGGTCCAACACGTGTTGGTCCTAAGTGGTGCTCACTGGGTAGGCTGGGTGCGACCGATTGCGTGCCGCCTTGGTTAACGATTTCCATTGTTTCCCGCGGCATAACACAACCACTGAATTCAGCTTTGTGCAGGGTGAACATCAGGCGAATTGTTTTGTCGTAAAGGTGCACAGTCATTTACATACTCACTGAAACTTTCTTCTGAAGAATGCAGCTCAAACTTTTCCATCGGGTGTCCGAGTAGTGTTATTTCAGGAGATTGATTTCTCTTTTATGTGCACGTAACGAAACTGCTAAGAAATTTGACCAGTAGTAAAAGTCTGGTCGTCTGATCTCCTGAGATTGTTTTACTGTTTGTCACTTGTTCCCCTGAATTCGCCTTCAGCAAGCCCGTTGTACGAACCCTTCCTGTAATGACCCGCCTCCAGATAAGAGACCAACAAAATGCCTTCCGGTAAACGGTCAAGTCCAGTTTGGCCTTAAAGGCATCCCAGAACAGAGGGAGGCACACAAATTTCGGAAAACACCAACCTTGTTTATGATGGCATCGAAGTCCGTTGGCTTCGGAGCTACAGTCCATTTGGCACCCTGCTTCCAGTATTCCAGTAATAGTGGTCGATAGGCCAAGTATTCAAAATATCTCGATCGCCAGGTCATGGTTGCCTCAATCAGTTCATTCCCAATGACAAGCAAGAAGTCACGTGGCATTGCAGCGTAGAAACCTGACGGAGATGATAAAAATTACACGTGTGTCACAATGCAATTTTTTAACTACACTGGTATCTGAGTGAAGGGAGTAGGAGATGAGAATATATATTATCCCGGTTGGGTTTGTGTGTACTCAGACTGCAGTTACCCAAAGCGGTCGATTCCAGAACCCTTAGAATCAGTTCTTCTACAAAACGTGATCAGAAAGGCAGATCGACTGCATTTAGTGTGACTGATAGGGCTTTTGAGAGATGTTTTAATGCACAACAGGGGTCGTCTAGATATTTGATGAGGGTTACAACGCGGAGGAGGTAGAAAATATGAGTGCTAATCACCCAGCGACATGAACTTCACATCTGACCCACAGAATGAAATGAATTTTCTCCCCGGAGGTGACAAGCGCCACTTGAAAACGAACGCGAAACTCCAGATTAGGTTAGCTAAAAGGACGAAAGGTGAGAGGAGAAAAAAGTGTAGAACCACTTTATAATACCTTTTTCAACTTTTCACGACCAGGTCCTGTGGTTCTACTCCAAAATCCTGATAAATTGCCTTATCACACCTTTAGTAGATGAGCAGGGAAATTTTGTTTTGACTGTGAGTTTTTCCTTTCTATTCTAGGTTGCCGTTATCCTGTCCAAATATACCATTTGGTAGTTCACTTGTAACAACAAGTGACAACTCCACCACACTACTGTAGTCTTATTGTCGCCTCATTCTTATCTACCGTTAACCATTATTAGTATGTTCATTCTACAGAGACCCCACTTTCAACTGGCTCCTTGAGTACAATGCCCTTAGTCGGCCGACCCTCAATCTTGCGCCCACCATACTACTGTAGTCTTATTGTCGTCTCATTCCTATCTACCGTTAACCATTGATAGTATGTGCAGTTTACTGAGACCCCACTCTCAACTGTTAGCTTTGGCTCCTCGAGTACAAAGCTCATCGTCGGCTGACCCTCAGTCTTGTTCAGAAGGCATGCGCATCAGCAGCGTTTTTGAACCCGAGAAAACGAAATGCACCAGTTCAAAACGGCTTTGGATTGGGTATTGATAATAATGCCAGTTCATACTTCTATGCTAAAACTCGGTTGATGGTTGCAAGGTGTTACAGTGACCAACAAGTATTGACGTGCTCACTCTTGCTGCACACATCTGATGTGTTCAACTCAGAACAAAAAGCATGATTGGTCGGTTTTCTAGGCTGACTGTATTCTCCCTTCAAAAAGTGTGTAAAGTCCACTACTCGTCCAGACAGAATTTACAACCGGACCGTTGTTTTCAAGAGCACTAGAAGTGATAGTATTCGATTTCGCGATGTAAAATGAATGTGCTCCGTTATTCTGGTCCAGAACCCTCCATAAATTTCTTTAGTAAAATTTCTGAAATACTTTGATAGGAAGGTTTTGATTGCTTCAATAAGAATCTGGATCGAAAAAAATGTGGAGATGTGGTGTTTTAAGGTGAACAGTCATTCACTGAAATAAAGCTCAAGATATATCAGGAGCTTTCGTGACGAATGACTGAGAAGCAACGCACAATTGTTTTCTAGTTGGCGAAGGTGATACTACTTACAAATAATAAGCGGCCCAGGATGAAGACCAATTCGCACGAGTAAACCCTCCATCTAAGAAGTGTTCAGTAGATGAACCGGGCAAAAATGACCACATGACACGAATCCCTTAACTGAGTAGCAGTCAAACACAAGCTGCCCGTGGGGAAACGGTTTAGTTTTCAATTAATAGCCAGATGTCCAAATTTATCTGGAGTTTGCGAGATTCTTACCGTTTATCGGCTTTTCGCCATGGATTAGTTTCACTCGCAGGAGGAAAACAAACTCAAAGTACTGCACACCTCTCAAAGCATCTTACCCTAACCATTGTAAGCCTTTTTTACTAGGACAATTGAATTTTCTGATTTCAGTCACTGTAGATCCTACAGACATCCCAGAACGTCCAAATCGGAAAGATGTGTAGGTTCCTTCCGATGTGTGTCCCTGGGTTACTTCAACCAGATCAGCTGGGGTGAAAACGATTTAATGTCCACGCGATTCTCCTCAATAATGTGGAGAAATCGTTTGGAGATTGGCTTGTCAGATCTGATAGGACTCTGGATTTCTGGTCTGTCTCAAGATAGCTTGGGCATTTATTTAATCGCAATCAGTCTGTCTTACATGTTCATTCAGGTTTAGAAGACTGCAGATGTGAAGTTTTGCATATCTGGTGGGAAAAAATAACGTTTTTTAAAACAGATAGTGATCTTGTTTGAACGTGTACTAAAAAGTCCTTTTTCGGATTTTAAACTGAGGGAGTTGCTTGTAGATTGAATATGCATTGAAAAAACTAACCACACGATGGATGGTCGTTGGTGGCTACCGCTTTGGTTACCAAGATCTCTGCATCAGCTCACCGTTTCTAGCTCCCTTGGGCGTCATAAATCCACACGAAGCATTTAACTGATTTCACAGCACAACTAGGGTGCAGTTTTCAGTGTTGCTAGACATCCAGGGCTTCTGGGTTCAACAAACAAACCTAAGTGTATTCTCGCAGTTGTGAGCTACACTGACCCGCATGTAAGCGAGCGACCTGTGGACACCAGATGACCGTAAACATGTTCATCCAAGTTGAGACGCAACAAACGGTAGACAAACTTCTGTTTTGAACTATCATTATGCACTATTTTGGTGACCAATGATTTCACCGAGACATCGCGGATGAACCGAGTCCTTCTTTTTACGGTATAGTCTGGTCGCATAGGCAAAACATGGAGCATTCCTAATCACTGTCGTTGCTATTGAATTAAAAAAATCAACGATCCCAAATTGATATTTCGACAGTGAAATTGAGAGAGATCCGATACTTAGAGCGACACGCTCAGAAAACACAGCCCTTTGCACGTTCAGTTTGAATTCGGTGAAAGAACGGTGTTAGGCGTTTCGGATTCCTCACAGATACTGGTTTCCAGTTTCTTATCCATAACCGCTCATGAAAGTCGAACAAAAACGGTAGTGTGTTATCACCGTCTACAACAGTCCAAGCCGGCTACTTTGATCTACTCGTACGAACTGAGTTTGTGAACCTTGTGGCCATCAGATACGGATAAGTTGATGTCATAATCATGACAAAGCATGAAATTTATGACTGCATAATGAACGGGAATTACTTTCAATTAGTTTTTCGCCTCCCAACTGAAGCCAATTTGTGCTGGTCCGCAAGTATCTCGGAGATGGAATAATTTCACAAGATGAAAGACGAATTCTATTCGAGGAGTTGACTCAAGCAGACATTCAGTGCGTGGCCGTGTGATGTGTTTTCTATCAGTGATGGATGATTGGGGCTGTCCTAATCACATAGCTGAATAGATTACCACTCGTGTTCAAACGGTTAAGTGTTCGGTCACTGGCCAGAAGTTTTTGGGTTCGAAACACTCTGAGTTTCGTGCAGTGCACACTGCTAATGCTTCGTGACGAGGATAGAACAGCTTTTCAGCTTGGAATGGCTTCTTTGATAAAATGAAACCTCTGTTGAATCATTTGATTTCATTGAAATTGGTCTGTGGTCTGAACTGTTTTGATCAAGTTAGACAGCATACACCAGCTTTCAGGTATTCAGGGCGTTACGATCAGAGTAAAACCACGTTTAGAAAAACCAGGGTGTGATAAACGTGCTATCAATAATCCATTTCAAGATCTCGGTTACCGTTCTTTTTGTACTATGCTATGTTTACTTCAATTTGCAGTACGGAACATGGTTGAATTGGTTCTCGTAGAGGCGTGTCCAAGTGGTTATTGAGTTCAGCCTTACATAGGATGCTCTAATAGAACTTCTAATGTTTCGTGGATGTAGATTCATTTGACGTTAAGCAGCACTTTTTGTTTGTCTGCACCCTCCACCGCCAGTTTGGGTTGTTTCGGTCTACCCACTGTTGTCTGTGTTGCCTTGCCTAAGAAACTTCGGTTTTACGCTTTCTTGCTTCATCCTGATGCCCTGTTTTTTCGGAGTGGAACTAGCCCGCGATGATTCTGCAGCCTGAATACTACATGACCTTCGACAATGCAGAGGTGGATGGTACTCTAATATGGTTTATTCACGAAGTATCTGTGTACGGGCCGCGGAGCTAAGACACACGGCCGACGAGGCTTCAGACACAACTTCCGTATACACACTTACTGAAAGCATGTACCACATCACCTTCAGCAACGGCAGATACACACTCACCAGAAAACACTGTGATGGTGTTCTTTGATACTAGCACTATATTACTACATTACGTTTAACGCTTTGGTTATTATCCGTTTAGGTATGATCCTCGGCTCGTGAGTTTTCTCTATTCCTACCCGCAGATATTGCTCCCGAAAAAAAACGTTTCATGGGCTTCTATACTGCGTGTGCGCTATGGTTTAGTCATATTTGAAAAAATTCTATTCATACTCCATGCATATCTGTACCCCGGTGCACTAAACGAAAACAGTTTGAAGCTCAATCGTTTTGCTACGATTTTTACGAAAGCACAACCCAGGTGATGGAATAATTCCTTGTAAAGCTTCTTCCGGAATGATTGAAATCTTCACAAAGACTGAGGATCACAAACATCCCGAAGCACATCCTACGTAACTTAATGTGTAGTCCCTAAAGAACACACCACCCAAAGAGACCATATGCGTCTCTTTTGCAATGTCATTGTCCTTGAAAATACCGTAGCTTGGGCGAAATCCACCGACTGACCACGATATGAAGGATGGACCAACAAGAAGCATTGCATTAACAAAGGGTGCATGAGTGGGATCTGCGTGTAACTCTAAATCATGTGACTCAAGGATGACCACAATTGTCATCTAAACGCAAGGCCAGTATTACGCCAATTTCTCTCCACATGGGTATGAAACACAGAGAACTGTGGTGCAGACACTTTGTGGTCACAATAGATCTATAATGATCGATTGTGGCCTTCCACATCTCAGGTAGAAAGTTCTGACCGTTGTGACAGCTAAATCTCGCAGTCATACTGAGAAAATGAAACTTTGCACAACACACACACACACACATGCTACGCAAAAGCAACCATCTTCCGAAGGAATCACTTCTGACCAATTTGGGTGGGGATGCTTGAAACCGGTTTTACTGAAGAATGTTTCACAAATGCGACGGGATGTTTAATCGATTTTGGACAAGTTCTATGCCTCATGGATAAATCGCAAACCAAATTAGGCGTGAGTGCCACTTAAGTTCACACTGACCAGAGGTGTTCTTGTAGAGGCGAGGGATCACAATCATTGGATCAGGTCTCATGGGGACAAGCGAAATCGCTCCGCTAGGGAAAAAATCCACTCTGTTACAAATCAATACTTTTGTTCCATCAGATCACACAGTTCCTACATAATGTCGTCCCTTTTCCATTCTTCATCCTTTAACATCCAAATTCTTTCCAATTCCATAGCTATGTACTTACACAATCCCCAAGGGTAACTCGGATTTGTTAAGCCAGCGAAATTGGGAGAAAACTCATTTACCCAAAATGGCTGTTAATTGTGTTAACTGTACAGAGTCGAACCTTTCTCATCGCATCCAGTGACGCGTCAATAGTTAATTTGATTAAACTGCACCGCGCCAGAATGTTAACTGGAAATACTTTCTTTTCTGTGATAAACTTTCATCGTTCCAAAGAAAAATCTCAAAGAATCCGCTTACAGAACAAGAAATTGTTATTCTTTTCGTAAGACAGACGTTTTTCGGAAGATCATCTGACATTTTGTTGAAAGAACACCAGAAAAAGTGCAAACTATCTTAGCGTCACCGATTGGCCACACGAAAACAGACGAACTAACCTTGAGATTCAAATCCGAGTAGTTTGAACGTTGACAAATGATTAACTTTCGATGGACGCAATACTTTCACACCCTCCATTTGTAGTACACGGACATACTCTTCTACCTCTTTGACTACTTTCTCCCAATGTTCCTTGGGTATGCAGTCAGCCCAGTAGCGTCCCGCGTTTTTCTCATAAAAGTCCCACTTATCCATCGGTGTGCACATCTAAGGAAAACAAGCAATATTATCGCCGGTCAAAGACAGATGTATTGTGTAAGCGGAAGGATTATACTGGTTTCAGCTCAGGTTGAACCTCAAAGTGGTTTCAACAAGATTGGCCCGACTGGTATTGTTGTACGCATGATATGCTGTAGGCAGATCGTTGCCACATGGAAATTCGTCAAGTGTAAAGATAAGATAAATAAAAGATAATCGTTCAGCTGTAACACACGTTCATTGCCTAACTGCCATGCAACTTGAAAGAAGTTTGAGGGCTGGGATAGTGACAGGTTGCCCAAGCCTAGACAGGGGAAGTCGAAAGGCAGAGGTCGTGTTCGAACCACAGACCTTCCGATCAATAAATTAGCGCTCTAACAACTGAGCCATCAGGTGTGCCTTTACTGAAACGAAGAATGCACCCGGATCTCAGGTGAATCTCTTTAGCGTTTTAGTGCACAAGTGCTACCCCATGTTCTAATTGGAACGCTGTTTAAGCTATTGAAGTCAGTTTGTTGACAAATTCTTTTTGCAATGGTAGTGAACAATCATCGGCAGCGCAGCACCGGTTGACCTGTGAGTGTTTCTCCGCTATCTACGTCCAGCTTGATTTTGAGTTACGATATAAGATTGATCGAAATTTAAGGACAAAGTCCACCTGCTGAACCTCAAACAAGACGATGTCGGCAGTTCATCAGTCAGGAGTTTTTGTTCACCTTCTAATTAGTGTTCTTGCATTTCACATTCATACCGGGTTAAAGGGCTCTAATATGAATGCACTTTCCGGAACAGCCGGGCTTATTCCGAACGCCTGAACTGCAATCAGTTGGAATCTTGTCCGCGGTTGTCGGCACTCACCAGTACATATCATCGCCAATATTAATTTTCTCTGTATTTGATAAATGAGTGCGTTGTGTTATCTTGACGCCGTCAGTGGACGCTGGAGGCACCTGATTTATCATGTCAGAACGGGCAAACATGCCGATGTGAGCACCTATTTGTAAACTAATATGGCAGTAATGGGCGAATCGACTGAAATTCCACCGAATCTTTTGTCTGTGTTACTCTTCCCTTGAATACACTGCTTCACGCCACATTCGGAACGATATCCAAGTTATCCAGTTCTGTTCCAGTGTCACAAGGCCTTACTCTTCCCTTGAATACACTGCTTCACGCCACATTCGGAACGATATCCAAGTTATCCAGTTCTGTTCCAGTGCTACTCACAAGGCCGATGACAATCTGGGCAGCCCGTTTCCGGTAGCATCACCTCAGGAGCTCATCTCCTGGGCCTGGCTTCCGAATCACCATGAGCCTCATTTCATACATGAAAGGCAAGTAGTATGAATATGGAGGTAAACACTCAATTGCAAAGTAAAACGTAGTTTATGGCTGATTTAGTTGGACCGGTTTATAACTCTTCTCAAGTCAAGGAAATATTTTTCCACCTTGGATCTCAAACCAAAACACAAACGCCCAGTTTGTTGTTCGGATAGAAAACAGGACTGATGGAAATTCAGAGAACAGGTTTTTCTGAGGAATGTCGAAGAAGGGGGGACCGGAGTTTTCATCACACTTGTAGATGATTTCACTTCAGATGAAGCGCACTTTTTATTGCGAAAATTGCATGATTTCATTTGGAAGACAACCAAGCTATCGTTTTGCTTTTTATGACATACGTTAGCCATGACTTGCTGGTTGAATGGTCCAATCGATAGATGCTTTATTTCTGGTTGAATTTGAACACTAAACCTGGAGCCACACATGTGCAAGAGGACTTCAAATTCGGGGTAAGGATTTTCACCGCAGATTATACATGTTGTTCCCCAAGTTTTGAAATCATCTGTTTCACTACCTCTAAGACAAACTTTTGATCTATCGTTCACTGATCATTGAGCAAAATAACTGGCTCGCAAAAGTTATGCAAGCACAAAGGATTGAAGTTGGCTGATAGTTATGACGATTTCTGCTTGCGGTCTGATCTGTCAATTCTTAGTTTGTGCCGTAATCTCATCTTCTTGAGATGCAGTGGCCGGTTGTCCTTCCCCGTTAGATGTTGGGATTTCTTGTGTTGGCCAATTAGGTGTTGCTTGAATGGTCAGTTTGATGTCGCCCTTTGTTGAATCGTTCTCTATCTTTCTTTAATTTATTGTTTCAATGCTATTTTTGGGAAAGCGAATTAATCCCGTAGACTTTTGGTTTTTGTTTACCACAATACAACGCAAATCGGGAGCGGATCAATCAGAGAGAGAGAGAACCGTCGCCTCCGGACGAGCTAATAAAAGACGGTGGAACACGAGGCACACAGACCACAACGCAGCGCAAATGGTGAATGGGCCAATAAGATTACAAGAAGGGCATATACCAACTAGCCAGTCGCACGAGGTTATTCTAGATACTTTCCAACAACCACATAAACGCAGACAGCTATTGAAGTGGTACCCACTTAACTGCGCACTGACAAAGTCTCCTCGGTTGGGAGCAAGCTAGTTGTCAGGCTCGGCAAACAGACTAACTGCTACTATGTCAATAAAGCCTCCCAAGCTTACAGTATTGAGACACATCGATTATTTGGAGTGTTACTAGCTCACTGGTGAACGCGACGAATGGCGATGGAGAAGCGGAGCATGTGTGTTTTCAACAGCGGTTACCAATGATCTGAATCGAAGAACCAGAGTAACCTGTTTTTTCTCATAGTCACGTATATAAGGATATGTACATACACATTCCTCTGATTCCGACCAGGGACAACCGCTGTTTGTGAAGTTGATAACACATGTGCACAATTACCTGTCGTTTAGATGCAGCTTTGAAAGTTCGCACATTTCGGACCACAGTATGTCGCCAGCCAAATCGCAGTAAATGGTTCGATGCACCGTCCATTATTGGTTCCTTATTCTAAATAAGTCACGTGTTCACAGTTCACAATAGTTTCAGCCGTTTTGTTTAGAACGCAAAGATTTAACTGCCCCTTTTTCCGGACAAACCTGAGGTAGCGCAACATGGGCGGTTTCACAGATATGTTAGCTGATCTCGTATAGATAAAGTAATCATAACCGTAATATGCTACACATAAGGTTGCTGAAAACTCTTCGACAGCCCACGACCGGTATCGCCCATCTTGGGACTTATCAGGTAACCGCAATTCTTGAGTTTTAGTCAACTTGTTGATCCCAGCTGAATACCCTTGTTTATGATAATTAGCTCCAAGAAGGGCGAAACCGGTCGTGGGCTGTCGAACAGTTTTTGGCAAAACCAAACCGAATCGCAAATGAATGTACGTGTCTTAACCATAAACTGCTTCAGCCGAGCCATTTGACAACCTTTCTTCCTGATAATACCATGAGATAACAGTGTGGCAGTCGGCCTTATGACGAGCACCAGCAATGTGTAATCAGATCTGTCAATCCTAACAGTGAACCAGTCTGTGAACCAGAACCATCAAAAATTGATGCCCGAAAACTGCAAGATTCGGCTAATCTGTAAATGCGTTTTACTTCTGGGCGTTTATAGAAGACCACATGGTTCACATGGATTGACGTTCGATGCAACAGCTTTTACTAAGAATGTATGCACTATGGCGAACCTACTATCAGTGCAGCTTTTACAAACTAATGCACCGAATATCAACGATATCAACTTCCCTGCCTTATGTGAAATAATTAATTAGTTGAAACAAAATCGGGATATGGGATAGATAGCGGACTAGGCCACTTTGGTAGGACGGATTGAGCATACCTCTTGGGGCACAGAGTTTGGCGAAAAAGGATGAGTGATGGCAGCTTGTAGCTACGACCTTATGAGCTCTAACCGCTTTTGCCTGACTATGTGGTACTTGATAGGGGGTGCGATATTCGGAACCACGATGTCTGCATATGTCCCGCAAGTAGGTAGGTGATGTAGGTACGAGTTGAGACCGTACAGTGAGCTACACTACCCTTTTTCGCAAGTATCGAGATGTAAGTGGCATAAGAGTCACTAGTGAATTAACATGGGAATGATCAACTGTGGCAATTTGTCCTTGTTTTGCAGATGAAAAAGGATGGTCTGAAAAGATGCATCGAGTTTCGGCAAAACTCAAAGTGAATTTCACGGTTTCAGATAAACTTCCGGGTTGCAGCCTACCTACCCAGGCCGTCATTGCCAGCTTTCCATTATGTTCTGTAAGCTGCTCGAAATAAGTCAATCGGAGCAACCGTTTCCTTGTATTCAGCTCTAGAGTCATCTGACCAATTTTTCAACGTGTCACCGGGGCGTACTTTTTGGGTTAAGCAAAACATTAGGTTTAGTTTCTGCTACAAAAGAACGTCACTACCAAAATCTGTGTGTTGTTATTTCCAGATTTGTTTGGAAGGTCACACAAGGTCGCTTACTCAGTAACACATCGGAAAAGTAGAGTTGATTTCTGGCCACGCTTGTCGCATTACCAGAAGCAATGCGGTGGGTGAGGATTATGTTCATATTCGGTTCTTCACAAATGATATAAAAACTATCATCGACATTTAGTTACCGTTCCGGATGAATTCTGAATTATCTCCTATTAGACTCAGTCCGCCAGCTTCCCCATAATGTGAGCAGGTCCAGAGTTACCGTCCACAGTTACCGTTTAAAGAAAACAAATTTTCATCATCGATCGAGCACCGTCTAACCGTCAATCAAGCATAATTTTAATGGTGCTTAGTTAGTCCATCTTTCAGCCGACTCCGTTTAATCTAACCCCACCCAAAATGGGCTAAGTTGTCTCGTGTGTCACATCCAACTTGATCTTTTAGGTTGTGTTTGTAGAGTTACACACGCCCGCAAAACTAAAAGACACCTCGGGACACGAACAGTGGGCGTGTCGGGGTGAAGTCGCGCTTTCTTAAATCGCCACCAGTAAATACACAAAGAGCCAGAAGGTAGAATATTAAATTACGTACTCCGGTTAAATAATACCAGAAATAGAGGTCGAATCTTGAAAATAGCCATTTTACTGACTGGACAACATGAGAATTCAGTCTCTTTGAAATATGGAAGGAGCTTTGAAAATACTGTATGTTCCGTAGACAAGGTATCTCAGTAGAAAATTATCTTCGGTAATTTTTCTGACTAGTACCTCATGAATCTGTCTAACCTGAGAGCGCCCCCAAGAAAACGTACCTCAAAGAACATGACATACAGTTCTTTTGCCAATTTGTTCAAACTGAAAGCGTTAGAATATCTTTGAGGAGAAGTGCTTTCAGGAAGAGAGCAGCGTCTTCTGTGCGACTTCATTCCATACACAAAGTTATGGCTGTAGCTGTTAGTAGTAGTTTTTATGAATGCGTTATAGCCCTAACAAGATTGATTGAGACAACCAAATTAAAAAGCATGTTTCGCAGTCAAAAAGCTGAACCAATGCGTATTAGAACTGCACATTTGGTTAAGCTGTCTAATGATGTTGTCCTCATCGGTGTGGTGTTCATGGAATTAAGAAAGCACATTTTCTTATGAAACACAGTAGTGAAGCCCTTGAAAGGGTCATTTATTATTGAAAGTATCTCAGTGTCTCGTATATGAGTGATCTTGAACTTCACCAGACGGTAAGATGGTGAAAAAAACATACGTTAAGTAGACCTTACACTTGCTTAGCTATTGCATGGACCTAAAATGAAAGAATCGTCGCATACGTGTGAGATCAGCTAATCACTTCAAGGTCAGATCACATCAAACAGTCGTACTGCACTGTTCAATCAGTATCCATGTGTTACAGGATTTCTTTCTGGAATCTCCGCGGCGCTTATTACATTCATCATTGGTCCAAGTTATTCGCTGAAAACCGTTCGCACCATTATTAGCACGTTATTTTGTGTTAGTAGTATGCCCACTCACTTTGCTAACTGGCAGAATACATTTGAAATAGGAAAACCCGGTATTATGTGAGATGTCTTCATGCTTCTGCAGAAAATGTGTCATTGAGAACAAACGTCTTCGGTTACACCCCGGCAGTTCAGTACAAAATTCCCGCTTATAAGTTTGCCTTGAATGCAGTCAAGTTGGTTTCTAGCGTTGCGAAATGAGGCTCAGCAGGGACCTTGAGCATAGTTCATTAGGGTGAACAGGGTATATTTTTAGTTTGAATATACATCGCCCACTTGAATTATCTACGACCGGTCTAACGTACGGACTGTCTCGGTGCAGCCCATTCCAGGAAACCAACAGATGATCATTTACCGTCCAAGTCGGAATTTAACTAACTTCCATCTGCTTCCCTCAAAATTTTCATGGATTTTTGCATCCATACTTAGCATGTATTTCCATCCATTACGCTGTTTTTGTCTAAGCTCAAAATACCGATATCCAATAATTTCACCTACGAGGTTCTGGACCTCATAGAGTCAATCTACAAAGTAGGTATTGAATTTTTTGTAATGGTTATACTAAAACGACATCTCGTTAAAAAATGTGAACCTTTTGAACTGCAACCTCTGAAAATGACCAACTTACTTTCACTTCTGGGAGGAGCCGTGGCACAACGGCACCCTCTGGAGTCCCAACAATGATTTCTTCCAGTGGGTCCCACTCATTCCAAGACCAAACTGGACTTGAGGAATCGACCGGAGCCTTAGAGTTGCCGGCGACATCTGAAGATTTTCGGTGAAAGATTTGACTTGAGCTGAGAAGACGATTCCTCTGAAGTAGAGCAGAGAAATTCGTGCGCTTATCATTGCTGTGCCTCAGAAGAATTTACAAAGTTTGGACTTGGTTTTTTTTACTTCTAGTATGCAAAGCAGTTTTTCTTGTGGGAAAATAGCGTGGTATTTTCTACCATTTTTATCAACTTATAATCCGACTGATATCAACCCACAACTTTTGTTTGAATTTCACACAAGCCTTTCAGCTTTTGGAAGCACTTGTGAGTAGCCTGCACGTTCCTATACCGATTTAGACATGTACCTGGTTGTTTGCTCTACTCGATTACTCTCGCAACTCTGTCATGACGATCTGCCTGCGTTTCAAAATCGCTGGCCGTGAAGAACACCGCTGTGCGTCCACAATACTTTCCAGCTGATCTTGACCATTTAGGTCAAGTCTGACCATTTAGGTCAAGTCATTGAATCAATAAGATGTAAAACAGATGTACTATCAAAATGTGAGATCGGTAATGATTCGTCCTTCATTCAACTGTCTGGAGTGAGCAATGAGTGCCTGGTAGTATGTCTGGGGTGAACGTGCTCATTAAAGTCAATCCACCGACTTCAGACATTGAGAAGGTAATGCAAAAGAGGACATGCAAGGGTCCTCAGGTTCTATCAATCCAATTTGACGATGGGCCTAGAAGAAACATCTGCTTAGTCATTACCGTTGCTCAGGGGATCAGCGGGCAAAACACATTGATAGAGTTTCCTTACGTCTAATCAACGGTCTTGCCTAGAAATGATCCCAAGTATAATAGCTCATTTAGATTGCACAACATGATCGAGGAACGTACGCCTCTAATCCCATAATGTAAAAGTACGAGCTCACACAAGGACTCTAGAGAACGAAAACAAAAACAATCCCGTTGAAGCATGTACCATCTTTAAAGCTCTTACCAATGGTTAGCAACCTACATAAGTTTTTTTGGCAAACAGTCTACATTAAAAGTGTGAAAGTCAATGTACTTATCAACTGGAAAAGTTTGAGACCGATCGAGAAGTCATCGTTTCAGAAGAGCTAGTTAAACAATCGGTACCGAAAATTGCGAAGGGTGTTGGCATCAGTAGCGAAACTCAAAAGGGAATAGACCGGGACTGCTGTTGTTCCATATAAACCGAGGAAATTGGAGGTCATTCGAAGAATTCTAAACACGGCTAACATAAGGGTGGCCCTCCAGAAGGGAGAACACCCTGCACTCTGCACTGGTGCAAGTGAGGGATCACCACCCAGCAAACAGAACCAAGGACTGTATCTACAAAATTAAGTATAACGGCTGCACCAAGGTCTATATAGGACAGACGGCCAAGGAACTGCACACCAGAACCAGAGAGCATAGTAGAAAAATAAAGAGGCCACTTAGAAACGCAGATGAATATCAAGCGTTACTGAAAGATTCGGCAATCGCGGAACACGCACTGGGCATGGGACACAAAATAGAGGTTTTGAAGCGGGAACTACGGCCCACGTCACAGAGAATGATAGCCGAGGCGGTAGAAATCGCCAAGCACTCCAGTGTTAACAGAATGGAAGGCGTGGAACTGGTAAGCGTGTGGAGAACGGTTCTGGACCAGTCGAACTGACACGTGTTGGTGTGCGGTTATCAGAAGGAAGCGTGGTCATCATCTGGATTCCACTTGACCTCAAGCCCTCAAACTAAATTTTCGGAGCACTCAAGACCCCACAAAAACCAGGGAAAATCTACCAGTGACAGCCGAAGTGAATCATCAACTGAAGCACTCTGAAGTGGAATATTAACGAACCAAATCCGACCAGAATTAATTTACCCCCCCCCCCAAATCCACCAAAGCAAGATTTTGACAACTTCACTAACCGACAAGAGCCGTAATTGACACTCAACACTGATCTAGTGTGATAGTCTGAAGAGGACTGACTTACTGATTAGTTCCCTGTCTGCCTTCCAACCTGGCCAATTTGGTGACCTTCTCACTTGGCCTTATGAAGCTTTTGTGTCAAAAGCGAAACGTTGCCCAAATAAAAACTACCGATTGTTCACCAAGCTCTTCTGAAACGAATCAATGTACTGACGTGTTTTTGTCATTCCAAAGTCATTAACAGTCCTTATTAGATGAGTACACAAGAGCATTCTAGTTTTCAACTTTTCGGTTCCTAGTTGAGCAGTCTACCGGTGAACTGCGAATAGCTGATCCACAGTGTGATTACCTTGCGCCGAGGCAGGAGTAAACATCACTCTTTCTTCATTGGCAGAAGTCATTTCACATAGCGTGAATTTGTCTTATTTCTCGAATGAATGGTTCCACGTGTGGTGCAATCACAGTTTTTGAGATACTTTCCTTTCCTTGTAGATCAGTTACCTGGACTCGGAATATCACGGAGTCCTTACCATCCAGAAAAAGAGCTTTCCACTCTGAGAGGAAGGTATGCGAACAAAACTTAAAACCAGCCTGCGTGAGCTGTTTAAATGAAGGACAGACAACGTCACCTTGTGTGAGTGCAGATGAATCACAAGTCTGACCAACCAGTCACACGTAACTGCTGGTATTTAACCTGTTATTCTCAAGGTCATGGATTCTAGTTTCCTCAAATGTATTTGGAAAGTATACTCACAAGTAGTCAGGCATGCGTATGAACTCGGCGTTGATGATAATTCAAACCGATCGTTCGACGCTATCAATTTCGTCACATTGCGCTGAACAACTCCTCCCCAGTGACGCAGCTTGTCGTGTTCACAGGACGTGCGCCCATCTGGTTTGAAAATTTTCTTTCTCGACACCATAGTCCCCTAATCTTCATCAACCTTGTCACCAACTTGGTTATCAAAGTGTGCGCATGTTGCGGCCGACACTAGTGTGCAAAGTAACTAGTGTTGGCAAGCGCCCCGGGCTGATGTTCGCCTGCATTTCTCGTTTACAGTACGCTGTCAGTACTCACATAGGTTGTAATCTTACTAGTTTGAAATCGAAATGTAAACTGCGTTCATATTGGTAGCGGCTCGGCTGATGGTGGGTGTGTGGGCGATCGTCGTATCCGATGGACATCCGGCGCAGTGGTGATCCGACCAAAGTAATCAATCACTGTTCACCTAATTCCACCTTCAGCTTCGCTATCGACCGTAATAGCTTGATCGTAAACATGACTAAACAGGATAGGATAAGCATTGATAGCAAACCATAAAGTAAAGCATTATCGTTTCCGGAAAAGCGATTTGATCGAGTGCCACCACACCGTTATCATAAAATTGGACCCATCTGATAATACGAACAGGATGCACGTCTCTTTCTGCAGCACTCTCTCTCCACGAAGCTGCTGCGCAAACCTAGCTGCTTCCAGGATACTCAGAATTGTTGGGCGAAAATAAGGGTGGATTCTTCGGAAGGGACTCTGGTTGGTACGCTTAAACCTCGGTAAAGTATATTAGGTTTTAACGTTGGTGAACAATGAAATGTTCCAGGGAACAAATTTCTCCCAGTATATATATATATATAAATTGTACTTCTTTCTTACGGGAGCTATAACCTGCGAAGAAACTTATTACTATCTGTCTTTTGGCCCAATTTGGACTCGTTCAGACTTCTTTCACCCTAGATACTAGCTCCCGTTCATCGTCCGCTCGAGACCCAACAGATATTCTAACTCATCAGTATCAAGAGGCCTCATCTACACGATACTCTGGGCATAAATGGTAGTTCCCTAAGGTTAGTTTAATAGTTTGGGGAGCAGTACTCAAAAGGTCATCCGAAGAAAATCATATGGACCAACGGGGCAAAAAGTGGAAACATTTTGAAACCATTATTGTGCCGACGAGGGAAATGCTTCAGACGCTCTTGGTCAATTTAACATAGTAAAGGAACCACTCTGATGCTTTGAGTTTTTCGTATATGACCCCAGTTCGACTAATCGTCAAGTTTCCGAGAAGTCGATAGAGTTGCTATAATCTCTCTTTACACGGACAGGCTTGATCGCTGTTAACTGAATTACGGTATGTGGGTGCAAGCGTTTTTGTCGACAATACATGGGGGTCGTTTCTAATCTCGTACCAAGTCCTCCGGGAACTTCCATTCTTTTACCAACGTTTAACATAACATTGTGCCATTTGGTTCAGTTCAGACAGTGCGCTACAGTCCTCGGATTTCCCTTTGACCAGGCCAGTCCCAGGTGCGAGATTACTTATAAGGTTGCTGGAAACGATCTCTCATAGCCCAAGACCGGTTTCACTCTTTGTTAGGCAGGAATCCACACGGATCCCACTATACCGTACGTCTTTAGGCGTTGCTACGGCCGATAAGCCTGGCCCGCTCGAGGCTGGCCCGGAATTCGGGACGCTTGCCGGTCCGTCATCAAGACGAGATCTGATTGGTCAACAATCTGGACCCAACAGCCAATCATGACCCAGTATTGGCCAAATGCCGGTTGCCAATGGCGCATCCAGAACGCGTCAGAAATTCCAGAAAGTTATAACCGCTTGCGCTATATATACAAAGCGCTGTACAACTGTTCTCGACTTGGTTTTGGGCGTTAATAGACCTTGTGCACCTTTGGTGGTTGTATTGACGCGAACGCTAGCTTGGGAGGCTCAGACCGAGAACTAAGCTGAGGAAAATACCGTTACTACAGTCTTCTTAGGGCTCATCGGGCAGGTGCAGTCCCCAAGTTCCTAACAACCTTATGTTCTACTTGAACCCATACTGTACCAAATTTGGGAAGTGCGTTCATTTGCTAACCACTTTGGTCTTGATGGGAAATCTCTCTGAATCTCAAATGGATCGCTGAATAAAATATGCAGGGATATTTCAACTATCATACCAAGTGAAGCGAGAAATGGCCTTTCTGCAGCAAAAAAATGAAGAATGTCACAGACGAGCGATTCAGTTGAAAATCAGTTTTGCGCGTTCTTATTTTGCTTTTTTATGGGAGAATATTTCAGGTGAACGACGTGGAGACCAGGCAGGATACAACAGGAGAACGGCTTGTGCTCAAATAAGAGTAAAACTGTTAGAAGAGCTAAAATTTCAATCGCGCTACATACCATTTACATGGGACATGTGATCAGTCCAAGCGAGTACTTTTTCACCTGCATTTTGTCTGTTCAAACGCCAATGACGAACAGAAAGTACGGTTTGCAATAGCTGAATTATTCGTAATATGGCCACGTGTCCCAGTAATATGCTGTCAAAAACGATGTAAATTAAGTGTGAATGGATGGCACTGCTCATCCATTCACAAAACAAAAATATAACGGGAATGTGTTTCCTCCCGATCATTTCCGCATATTGTTGTTGTAATCACTAAACATAAAAATGCCTGTTCCTTCTGACGTCAGCAACATTTTACCACCGGATTAAGGTTGACCTGGGGCATGGGATTTCAAAAAAATCATTTTATGCTAATGGTAATTTTCCTCCAGATGGTGTGTTCTACGCCAACCAATTTGATGGTTGATATTAAGCGCCACGGGTGAAATGCATATTCAAACAGCGGTTCTCGTCGAAGCTGAATGTAGCTGCAGATTTTCTACGTCCTGCTGGGACTTTGGTCTTCGCAAGCTGTGGGATCTGCCGGATTGTCCGATGGGATTCATTGAGTGCTATTCATCAGTTCAAAAATTGCCCGCAAAAGCATGTTTTGGACAGTGTTATTATGGATCCCACGATAGATCTCACTAATCCCATCCAACAGTTGCATTGTCAAACTTTTAAGGAGTCTTCCAAAACTTAAGTTGTTTTGTGCGTGCGATTGAGCGATTCGCCAAATGGAATGAACATCAAGAAACATACAGTGGGGATGCTAAATGCTAATGTCGAAAGGAAGGAGGCCTTTGTTGCGTAGTTATTAGAAAATGCCAACTGGACAGTTACAGACTATTGTACAGGGAAGCAAAACTCTCATTTGCATTTTATTTACATAAACTGAACATCCATCTTTTTCTGAACGCGTCTTCTTGAGCTTTCCTGGATATTTATTAACCCAAATCCAAGCAAATGCTACAAAACGACTCCACAAATTCCACAACAGATCTCCCTTTTCAAGAGACGCAAAGCAAATTTACAAGAAGAAAACACACTGCTCGCATGCCCCCATCAGTAGTAGCACTGTTACACTACAACAGTTCTACAACCATTTATTTCGCTTGCTCTGTTGCTGATAATAACTTCCAACACTGACCTCACCATGATTTAGTAGGTGTAGTTATGCACAAAATGTCAACACACCAATCCATCAGCTAAATACGCTGCTGTTTCCGGAGAAAGTACCCATAAAGAGCATGTGATTCCATGAAAAGTAAGGAGGCTTATTCCAGGTATTCCGTATTATTTTCCGGCATTTACTAAGAGACTCATGAGAACGCTTTCCATCATAGTTTATTTAAATGTGACAGCTGTTTCAAGCCTGGGGTCCGGAGTTTGTGTCCCTCGAGGAAAGTACAAACTCGGCCTGTTCCGTTAGTACGCATTTTCCTAAAGGTCACCGTATTTTGCAATGATCGTTACGATTCTGCGAGGTGTCCGGTTTCTATGAAGACTTAGTCGAGAATAATTGCGGAAAAAACGACATCTACTTCCCCTGATTTCGGCCACCAAAAGCTCATCATTCTTCCTGTGTTCATACCGGTGCCGATCTGGTTCACAGGAACCAGCCAGAACGAACATGATCATCTTTGTCCTCAAAGACATTTATCTATTTATCGATCTCTTACGCTTTTTAAAGCGGGACCGATACATTATCTACGATTTCATCTATCCATCCATGACCCCGAATTCTTATACCGAACGTCATTCAGGGCTGATATGATCGTACAGGGCTATTTTCTTGCCAACAGAGGGAAAAAATGTCTAACCTGAAGCGTCACTACTGATCACTCTAACCAGGCTATATGGAGAAATCGACTGAGGCTAAATATGTATGTCCATTGTTTCCCCTTTGTCTAGCATAAGTACACACTTTCAATTAATATGGACATATATTCTTTGCTGTTGCGTGTATGCATCAGAAAGATATCTATAGAGTATTCAGACGACCTGTGTTTTGCTTCCTCTAACCAGCATATACTTGGTTGTTTTGTTTTTGTCTTTTAAGTGGTGCTTATGCATGGCCGACTCTTGAGTGGTATTCAGCTATCTTGAGATAATTGGAATCCACATCAATAGTAGTATCATCGTTTCTTGAATTTTGGTCTCACTGGTTTCCCTACTCCCATAAAAGCGACTTGTTGCTTCCATGCTCAAAAAGAATGCATTCGAAACTCATCCCAGTAGTTTGTGCAATACCAGCATGACTGGCTCTGCCGGTCCTCAATTTGTACTTCCCTTCAACTTACGTCTGGAGATTATATTCAGCTTCTTCCATATTGCGAATGCTGTTAGACAGTGAACGCATCTTCATTGGAAGAACTTGTCTTGCTGTCAATGATCTTATCCAGAACTTGGAAATACACCATTGTGTCGCCTCCATCACTCTTAAAGATTTTCGAAATTCACTAAAATTTTAGTTTCTTGTTGTAGGTGATTCACCGATCTTTTTAAACGGATGAATACTTTTACTTTCTTGACAACACAGGGGACAAGATTTCCCTTGCACTGAAGTGTGAATATGCAAGTTTGGCAACACCACGGATATGACCTACGAAACAGAAACAAAGCACCATTACTGTGGTTTGAATTTCACCTGCACACACTACAACTATACAAAAAACTCCGTCGTCTGCCAGTACGAATGAGATTGGTCTAATCGAAAAAATAATACATCCATGAACCAGTACACTTCTGCTAAGATTTCCCTTGCATTGAAGTGTGAATATGCAAGTTTGGCAACACCACAGATATGACCTTCGAAACAGAACCAAAGCACCATTACTGTGGTTTGAATTTCACCTACAACTATACAAAAAACTCCGTCGTCTGCCAGTACGAATGAGATTGGTCTAATCGAAAAAATAATACATCCATGAACCAGTACACTTCTGCTCCCTTCTCTACATGCACAGCGACAACTTTCGACGGGATGTAAAGGGTTTTTCTCAGGACAATTGGTGCACCAATGGCGTGACGGCAACTCAAACTGTCCCCTAATCTGTGTGTGCCAGAAGAAGCACGGATTTGTCCTCGGCAGAACCACCCCAAATGCTACAAAACTTTCAGGCCATTTCTCTGCTTCTCTTAACAGAAGAACCTGCTGTATCTGCCCTATTTTACAAACTAAGTTGCTGTTAACTGAATTCGAGCTGATTCTCTCGTTTACGAAATTCATCAGCTTAATTTGCAAATAAGTGCATTTCCCCAATTCCTGAAAACTTGGAGTTTGAGCGAAACATGACGTTGACTGAAGAAAACTCGTGGACTGCGCCTACTTAATGAGACAGAAGAAAGATGAAATAGTTTGTGGGTTGTCGAAGAATTTCTAGAAACTTATGAGTAGTGTGCGGTGTCGAAATAAGGCATCGTGCCAAGTTTAAAAGCCATCACATGCAATAATGTAAGTTGGATTTATATGCGTCGAATTGTTCGTAATTAGTAAATGCGGCGAACAAAAGTTGGCACTAAAAAGCACGGGATCCTGTCCACACACCTTGTTTGAAGAAAGGACGCCCGTAGCATTTCATCCAGATGTTAATAAACATTTCTTGATCTGAAGCCAGTCCACAAAGGGAACACTGATGCTAGGTGACGCGTACTGGAGATCGAATTCCGTTTGGTTTTTGTTCTCCTAATGAGGCTTTTTCTCATCAGAGAATGCAAACTGTAATAACCAAGGCACGAATCATGTACATCGATGATTTTCACAAAACATTTCATAAGCAACCAATCTCCTGAAGACACTTCGGTTAATTCAACCCACCCTAATCTTCCACGGCGACCTAAACCTACCTGCATTATATGTGGGGAAATGTGACGCAGTGCTAGCAGGGTAGGTCCATTGTACAGATTTTCTTTTCGGTGCGGACCGACTATTTTTTTAGATGTAAAGATTCCATGTAGACAAAAAACCTGGCTGATTGGCGGTATACGGTGTTTCCAGTTTACCATCAATCATTACTCCAGGAATTGAACAGAGGGAAAATAAATGAACACTTCTCAGCAAGTTATGCGGACAGCATTTGGACCGCATGCATTCGAGGTGTAGTGCGAGACTACTCCGTAACAAAATAATTTGTTCCAATATTTGATTAGTGTTACACACTCGAGATGACATCGCAAGTACATTACACAGATGATTCACATAAGTACTAATTGCCGTGAGAAACAACGTGTTATTGCAAGAATTACTGTTTCAAGGTAGAGGCGTCGTTGAATGTCCAAGACCTCGACTTACCTTAGTTTAAGTATCTGAAAAACCTCCAAACTCATGGAATATCCGATCCTACGGGGTAATCAATAACTAACTAAAAATGACTTTCTGATTATTCATCGTCCGTAGGTTTTCTGAATTACTCCACAGCTAGATAAACCAAACACGACATCTAGAAATGTCAATTAACTAGACTATTGAATAACGTTTGACTTGATTTCTGGGGTTCAGAAGTATTGATTTTTTGGCTTCATTATCCCCAGAAATTAAAAACCACTGTTTACCAAAAATCAACAGATAGTGGTGCCGTCTGAAATTACTTGTCAGCACATCCAAAAGCAGCATATGCCAGTATAGTTTTCACAGTATTCAGAAGAGCAAGAGCACCGTGCACAGAGGAGCTCGACCGAAGAGCACCACAACCTGAGATGTAGGTGCAGCTGAAGTATAGCCTTCCGCTTGATGGGACTAGGAACTGTATATACCAAATAAAATGTAACGACCGCACGAAAGTCTATATAGGTCAGACAGCCAGGAAACTGCACAGTGGAATCAGTGGGCATAAGAAATGCATTAACAGACCGCTGAGTTACTTAGATGAATATCAGGTGACAGTCAAAGACTTGGCAATGATAGGGTACGCGCCAGACGCTGGGCACAGGACAGATCTGAAAAATGTTTTGAGACGGGGTTTATGATGCACATCACAGCGACTGGTGGCCGATGTGGTGGGGATCGCCAAATACACAGGTGTGAAGAGAATAGAGGGAGCAGAACTGGTAAGCATGTGGAGAGCCGTCTTAGGTCAGCCGTGATGACATGAGCCAGTATCGGCGAAATGATCTGTGTCTAAAAAGCACAAGTTTCAAGAAGAGTAAGATCCACTCAACCACCAAACCACAATTCAATGGGCCTGACATCCCTCAATGCACGCAGACCAACAAAATCTGTGGAATATTCCATTTAGGTGTCCTAGACAGAAAATCAAACGCCACAAAATCCGGGTTTAACGTGAAAACAAACCCCCTAACCAATCAATTGTCAAAGTTAGTCATCCCCACTAAGCAACGAACAAGGACATCAGACCGGCCGCCAACTCTAATGAATTCAGTTAGTCTCTTTTCGTAAAGGAAACTACTCACAAGGTCGCTGAAAACTCTTCGTCAGCCCACGGCCGGTCTCGCCCTTCTTGTGGCCCATCAGGTAGGCACAATCCGAGCTTCCATCAAACTTATGTTCTACTTGAACCCAAATTGCACTGTTTTCAAGAAATACACTGATTGACAAATCAATTTGGTTTTCACGAAAGACTCAACTGAATCTCTCGTTTATGATATTCTACAGCTGAGTGTGCTGCACACAGAGCCTCATGTTTCAGTTGGAGCGACATTCGAGATATCGCAGTATATTTTCATAGGAAACACAACCCAAAGGGTTGCTGAGAACTCCTCAACAGCCCACGAGCGGTTTCGTCCTTCTTGAGGCTCGTCAGTTAGGCGCAGTCCCCGAAGACCATAAACGAGAGATTCAGTTGAGTCTCTCGTGAAAACCGAATTGATTTGCAAATAAGTGTATTTATCGAAGTCAGTTAGTCATAAGAATTCTCACGTATTGTTTCCCTGATTGCCTTTAAACCCAATCAACTTACCTACTTACTCACTTGACCCGACGAAGCCTTTGCGTCAAAAGTGAAACGTTGCTCAGCAATAAATCCACCGATTGTTTACCAAACAGTTTATCACTGGATGCACTTGTCACATCACTGTGCAAATACTAGCCTATGTAAACCAGACGCATCATTGCAAGAAAACTTGAAGAGGAGGAAATATGGGAGTGAAGATAAAAAAGTAGAAGAACAAATGTCAAGGGGGGCCAAGTGGACAAGGTGGCAGATTGCTCTCTCGACGGCCTGAGTTCGAACACCACAAGCTACTGAACTATTGGCCTCCTATCCGATGAATCTGCACACAGGTTCTTTCAGTAATGTAAACGTAAAAGGGTGTTCTGTTAAACTTCGAGTCTTGGTACAGCTGAACTGAGGACGAGATGGATACTGGGTTACTCTGAAACTCGCACCCACAACTGACCAGACTACTGTTACAGTTAAATCAGGTTAACTGAATTTAGACATTTTTGGCGTCGCGATTGAAGCAGGTGGAATCAATGGCGACGTAGATCGGTTTTAAGCAATGGTCGACTTGTAACCAGTGAGCAATGATGGAAAGCATTTCCACTGAGGTTCTTCTTGAGGATAGAATAAAGTCAACCAAAAAAGGTTTCCATATTGGATTGGAGTGTTGAATCACTTCCAGGGTATAAAATTGCGCATTTAAATTTCTTCGCCCCTCCGATGGAGGTTTTTTTCTATAAGGCGGTGAAGGTTTTTAAAATGGCGAATGAAATCTGACGGCTAAAGAAAAGGCAATACAAGCCCATCCACTTACGGCATAAACCCACTGTAGAAGAGTGAATACGTTGTGTTCCGTTTTACGACACTAATGTTATGAATGTAATAACTTGACAAAGGAAACTTCAAATTCCTCAATCGGATAAAAAGTTTGCTCTTAGACTATCTGCCAGTCATTCCAAAAGTATCGACAGGTTTTTTACTCACCCAGCTCTGAGGTAGCAACAATGGTCAACAACAGATGCCTTCGCGCGGAACTAAGTTTAGCCTCTGGTAAAGGGCAGGTACACTGAGCCTGAGACCAGATCATGGTGTGATCATCCTTAGGTCTGCTCAAATGATCCAGAGAATGAAGAATTTAGAAGAAACAAGAAGAATGCACCATGAGAGATACACTCACCGACGAATTGAGTTTGGCCAATAAGTTTCGAACGAGCATACTTGACTTGGAATTTCGGCTTCAGTTCGTCGTGTTGGAGGTGCATGTATATATATTCACGGCTTTTATGCTTAGCATTAGAAGGCCAATCGGCGTTACCCGTGCTAGTCAGTTGTGGTCAACTCTAGTTAAACAAATTGTTTGTGCCACGACTATATTACTGGACCACCCCAGGTGCCGCACTGTTTATAGGCTTGAGCGAAATGAATATGCTAAGTCGGCCCGCCGGCGTTCTCCTAGTGAAACACGTGAAAACAAGGTAAAGGCGTTTGATAGACTACATTTTTGAACACATACAGATAGGATTGTGCATAGTGAATAGACCGACACAGCAATCAATCAAAAGTGACGTTCGATTGTTTTAACCTTTAGGCTTTGGTCAATGAGTGACATTCATTTGGTGTGGAACGCAAATGCACAGTCACCATGCTGGAGAACGGCCAAGATACCAAGTAAAAGTTGCTTGACGAACACAACATTTCAGAGGAACCCTTGCATCGTCCAAATAAAGAAGAAACTTTACAGCGTCATGATACGGAACATTTTATTGAAGCCTAAATCGGACAAACGAGCTCGCCTGACTCAGCTTTGTCCCCCGCAACTGTGGGGACGTTTGAATCCGAAGCCGAATGCAAAGTGGTTATGTGAACTCGCAACATTTTTTGTCGAGTCAGCGTGTCACAAAAGAGAAGAATGGCTGCACACTTAGTAGGAACATATCTTTTCAGAATTTTCGCTGATGGTAAACATGTTTAAACAACCCTTCCAAACCGAGGCGGGCAGAAAATTTGACGCACGTGCAGGCAGTATTCTAAAACATAGATCGCCGTTCAATAATAACTCAGGGCCAAAGAATAGACATTCCCAGCATGATTGAGGATCGGTTTCTGGATGTAGAGTTTACAGAATCATTTCATTGCCTCGAGGATTCGGTTTTCTTAAGCAACACCAGGTTTGCGAAAGCTACATCAGTGCAACTAAATACATTATTTATTTGAAAACCTTGTCAGCCGAACGGTGGGTGTTGATCAGGTGGCTGTCGATCTATTCGCCGGGCCGGGCAATTGACGTTTCAGCAGTGCCTAGTTTTATGGCTACTTTCTCTTTGCCCACTTGTGTTTACAGAACACTTGAAGACTGTCTGCAATGTCTTAATGTGACTGGCCGATTCGCAGGTAGCGTCTTCGTGAACTTGTTGATTCGTTTGTGATCTTTGTTGCATTGTGATCAGCGTTTCTTTGAGTTTATTTATTAACCCACTGGCCCCTGTTTTGGTAATTTCTTCCTTTGATCTGAATGGCCCCTTCTCAGTTCGCATTTCTTAGCGGTCTGGTTTTTTTGAGATTAATTGGTTGGTTGTACCGCCCTATTTTCTCAATTGTAACGGCTGATATTCCTGTGTCTGACAGTTAATTTGGTACTTTTGTTTTTGTGCCTCCTCAAATAAAATCGATATTTTCTTTTGAATTGGTCATTTTTAGCTTCTTCAAGGAATTCCTGTTCTGCTTACTGCTATAGAGTTCTGGCTTTCCCCTGCTCCTCGTGGGATCAGTTTGCTGATAGATTATTAGTTGAAGTAACATGCTTCCGAAAAATTCACGTTCTTTCTTCGTTCTTGCTTTAGCTGTATGCGAACGAACTCGTGTTGTTCCTGATGAAGGAAAATTGGTCGCGTCAATTATTAGCGAGCTGAGAGCTTCCTCCCAGTTTGTCCTATGTATCGCTTGCCAAAATCGTTGCTCTGGATTCCGTATATAACCTTGCTATGCATCGTTGAATCCAGTTTTCCTTTTGATTTCGGTGGTGTCCTCCACAAGGTGTTCGCAGGTTTGCAGGCGATCGTCGTGCTGTGTTGTCGTAGGAGCCTTGCCGATGTTCTTGATCTACAGGAGGGTGTCTCGTTTGCCCCTACCTTGTATCGCCGTATTAGTCATACTTGGTTTCATGAGTGATCTCCAGACGAAATTCCTTAGGTATCCATTTTACGGAAATAGAAAACATATCGGTAAAAATCATTTAACATACTGGTGGAACTGACGAAGATACCGGACGGGGCAACAGGATGGGGTAACATGAACATCTCTTGCACGGTCGAATTGGTAGATCTCAGCAAAACACCTAGCTACACACTCCCTACTGACGGATTTAGCAGGAAAGGAACTGGTTCACAATTAAACTTTACAGCATTGGGATCAGAATACGGTCAAAATCCACACAGCGTTGTGGGTAAAAACACTGAAACGAGATAAGTTAAAATAATCAATGCAACAAATCGGTCAGTCGTGTAATGAATTTTCTTCATGAAGTAAACTACTCACAAGGTTGCTGGGAACTCTTCGATAGCTCACGACCGGTTTCGCCCTTCCACTTCGGGCTCACCAGGTAGGCGCAGTCCCCGAGTTTCCATCAACCTTGTATTTTACTTGAACCCAAACTGCACTGTTTTCGAGAAATACACTGATTGGAAAATCAATTTGGTTTTCACGAGAGACTCAAATGAATCTCTCGTTTATGCTAATTCTCAAGTGAATGTGCTTCACAGAGGCCACCTCACATTTTAGTTGGCACGATATTCGAGATATTGCAGTATATTTTCATGAAGTAAACTGCTCAGTGCGCCTACCTGATGAGCCCAAACTGGAAGGGCGAAACCGGTCGTGGACTGTCGAAGAGTCTTCAGCAACCATGTGAGTAGTTTTCTTTATGAAAATATACAGCGATATGTCGAGTATCGTACCAACTGAAACATGAGGCGACCTGGGTGCAGCACATTCAGTTGTACAACATTATAAACGAGGGATTAAGTTGAGTCTCTCGTGAAAACCAAGTTGATTTGTTAATGAGTGTATTTCTCGAAGACGTGGATTTTGTTAATTATTACAACAAACTCTAACTTGACGCCTTCCACAAAGCCAAACAAGCCCCAAGCACAAGTAATGGCAATCGTCGTGTTCAACTGCAGCACGAGGCACTGTTCTCTAGTTTAAAAAAATTGTAATTTTAACTGAGATTCATTTCTGTAAGTGAAGTTTGGCCATGCCGCAAAACTTGGCAACACTGAACAGTCGTGATCTCCTTGTTGAGAATCATCAACAGGGCGCGTCTCGTGAATCGAACCACGAGTTTCACTAGCGTCACTCAGGCTAAGCTGTGCGACCAGAAGTTACCAACCCTCACTTAGACAGGATAGAGAGTCCTTCATCCTTCAGTCAGAAAGTTCACACCATGTGAATACGTGTTGACTGGCTCTTCTCAGAGGGGAATTCGAGCGAAAAACGATCCCTTCAAGAAGGCTTTTTGCTCCTATCCTATTTGATTTGTTGCAAGAATGAGCATGATTTGATTCACGGTAAACCTTCTTCTGGCACCCGAATTTAAGGCCCATTCACTAATTTGTTCGACAGTTTTATCCCTATGTTGCTTACCTCGAACGCACCGAGACATATGGAAGCTCCCGTGTGTTATGAATTCCCTCAAAATTCTACTCATTACATTACGGTCAGTAGTTTGCTCATCCCCAGATCCAGGTTGGTAATGTACTCAGATGTCATGCTGATTGACGTAAGCATATTCAAACTGTCTTTCATTGAACCATTGAAGACCTAAGATCAAAGTGTCATTTGGGAGGAGTAAGTAACCATAATGTAAAACACAAAGAATATCCACCGTCCACTTTCGATACACAATACAATAGAGTTCGCCTGCATACCTGGTTTATACCCGCCAATCTACAGAAAAACCGATTAGCTTAGAGACAGGACTGCCACCATAGGGTTTATTTTACGCACTCCACAACAGTGTGTCTGTGACGGAGCCCACTGTAGCGTGGGACGTCAGGAAGTCAGCAGTATTCGACGTTCGAGAGGATGTATTGATGGCACACGTCAGTTCTGAAATGTGCAGATATAGAGGTTGGTATTAAGGAATCCACATGGCACAGACGGCACACATTCGTACAGGTCGGGTGACACAGGAAAGAACACCAGAACGTGGCAACAACACACGTGTATTAAACCGAAATCGAAACCGGAAGTCGGGGCTACAAAGTTAGGTCAAGATCAATCAGGGGGTGTACAAGAGGGCTGCCCAAAACCTTTGTGGGTGGAATAAAACCTTTTGCGCCGAAATGTTGCATTTCGTTGCCCATGTGCTCAAACTACAGTCCATTCCAATCTACATTCATATCTTTGTAAATCACCAAATTCCACTGTCCACTGAATCAGAAAAATCTGGTGGAATACTTTCCTAGCATCGCTGAGATGCCAAGATGGGGTTCAAAAGCTTGGACTGGTACTCTGAACCCCATTGTCTGTTTGCTTTAGTCCATCAGGGATACGTCGTAGGTTTCGAAAATTCAGTTCCATTGTGCGAATACTGAGCGTCGTCTGTAACACAGGTCTACAAAGCAACGTCGATTTACCGCGCAGCGCGAACGTGGGAGATAGTCAGACTGAGTGGAGTGCCAGAATGATCGTGCTGGTTTGTGTATTCAATTGAGCGTGCAGGTGCATCTGTGTGTATGGCAGCTTACAAACACAAGCAAACACAAGTGCACGTAAGGAGTAATAGTAAACAAAAAAGGGTTGTAACGCAAGCAAGTCAACAGTAGAAAAAAGCAAAGAAAGTGCTATTGAAAATGATACCTTTCCTCTTATTCTTTTCGAACATGCTCGGAACATGCAACGTTTAGTCTTCCAGTACAGGAATGAAGGAACAGGTGATATCTCCTTCGAACTGACTTTTAAGTTTCATAGATTTTTCCTCACTTTCTTTTCTACCCCTTTTCCCACGCAGCACCTCACAGAATGCCGCAATTTTCAACTAAAACCTTACCTGACAAAAGTCAGTTCCTACATCTTGATATTTTTTCTGAGCTGACTGAGCCTCAGATAAAAAATCAAGACTGGAATAAAATTACTATTCGCAAAGTCCCCACGATCGGTTTTCCCTTCCTGAAGCTCATCAGGGAGGTGTAAGCTCCGAGTTTCCGTTGATCCTATGTTCCACTTGATTTCCAGCCGTACTTAATTCTTGAAGTGAGCTCGA